ACAACAACTTTGTATGTTACAATGGCACATTCATCAAGCTTGCTGGAACAGCCTGAGAAACTGAAGGGTTTCCTGGGTGGAGAGCAGAAGTTAATCCCAGATTCCTGTGTTTCACCAGTCTCCCAAGGAGCTGCTCTCCAGAAGGCTGCAGCCATCAGGAGCCGGGGAAGGAAACAGATAATCATGTGATGGCCAAATTGAAACTTTAACAGCTACTTTCTGCATTTCAACAGGATTTTAAGCTCTACCATCTTAAGGATGCAAAGAAGCTCTAGAAAGCTTCTGTGGTGTAAAAGGCAAGACAGCTGTATGAGCTTCAGATACCCAGGACTATATAATGTCCTCTGAGTATCTGTCACTTCTATCTCTCATATCCTTTCCTCCCAGATGGCTTGGCTAGGCAGGTGGTAATAAAAGTTATGACAGCATGCTAATAGAATTGCTGCATGCCAGTTATGCTTTTCAAATGGCCCAAAGGTTGGAGATGTGAAAGATTGTTCTGTTATTTGGAAAAGACTCTCAGTCTGGTATGTCAGAGCTTTCTACAGATCCTTTGTGAGGCAGTTAAATGCAGTTAAAAGGAGATGTTAAACTCCAGAATACCCCCAGCTCAATGTGGCAATTGACCATCAAATGCTATCACTGGTACTTTATTGATGTTACAAATCGTAGTGGGAATAAACAGGCAATATCCAGCACTGTCCTTTGCAAAAGTTAGCAGTAAGGAAAAACTTGCCTCTTGCTTTGCTTAGCAAGCACAAGAACAGGGGAAATAAAAGGTCACTGAAATATATCCTTACAAGTGTGCCTTAGAACCTGCCACGTCCTGTTCCACCTTCAAATGGAGCACTCTGTGCACTTCTGGTGTCCTCAACATGAGAAGGACATGGAGCTGTTGGAGCAAGTCCAGAGGAGGCCACAAGGATGAGCAGGAGCTGGAGCAGCTCCCAGATGGAGACAGGCTGAAAACATTGGGGCTGGAGAAGAGAAGCTGCTGGAGACCTCAGAGCAGCTTCCAGTGTCTGAAGGGGGCTACAAGGATGCTGGAGAGGGACCTTCATCAGGGACTGGAGTGATAGGACAAGGGGTGATGGGTTCAAATTGAACCAGGGGAAGTTCAGGTTGGAGATAAGGCAGAAGCTCTTCCCTGTGAGGGTGCTGAGGCGCTGGCACAGGGTGCCCAGAGAAGCTGTGGCTGCCCCATCCCTGGCAGTGTTCAAGGCCAGGTTGGACACAGGGGCTTGGAGCAACCTGCTCTAGTGGAAGGTGTCCCTGCCCAGGGCAGGGGTTGGAGCTGGATAATCTTAATGTCCTTTCCAACCCAAACCATTCTATGATTTTCCATGCTTGGAATGGTTTTAATTTGTTTTTCCTCCTAAGCCAATTCTCCAGTTATAAAACAAGGAGAAAAAATAATAAATTAAAAATAGGTTTGGTCACCTCCAAAAATAATAATTTGTAGAAACTATGAAGGGCTGGGACAAGAGTCAGCAGAACATCAGCACTGTGAGGAGAACTGCACGTTTGACAAAGATTGTGGAAGAAAAGGAACACCAGTTTTTAGCTGTAGCACATCCTCCTCCCCAAATATCACCAGATAAAATAGCAAAAGCTAAAACTAAGCCAAGGAAAGAGAGAGGAAGTTGGTGGGAAGAAGCAGCCAAAATTCCTCTAAATAACTTTCTGCTTTTATAAACAAAACCTCCGCTGAGAATTTGTGCTCTTCAATCCTTCAGTGGGATTTTTGACCTTCTAAGCCTGCTTCATGCTGGTGTTTGAACAGATGTAGAGACCTGTGCCCCCTTAAAGCACATCCAACCCTAACTACAAATAACTCAAAGTATACTAGAATTACATCCACACCAGTAAATAGAAAAAGTAATCAAACCCTTAAAAGCAAACTAAATGTGTAGTTTTAGAGACACTGCTGTGTTTTGGTCACCACATGTTTGCTTTGCCTCTTCTTTAACTCTTTCTACTTCTATATTTAATCCTCTTGAGGTACATCCTGAGATGCTTAGAGCTCAAATCTGCAAGACTTTTTCCTCAGAAGTTAATCTTCCTCCTAATTTGATAACTCAGATCAGAAACATATTCAAAGGAAATCAAGCTCTCATTCCTTTCTCTCCAAATGCTCCTTTTCACCTCTTTGCTCTT